CCACGAAGTTTATTTAATGGATTATTTACTCTGTACCACAAATTCGCCTTGTTCATCATCCAAATAGATAACTTGTACTTTGTTATTATACTCCTCATTAAAACTATCCACAGCTAAACGAAAGCGTCTGTCTGGTCTAACAGACCAATTCACACTAAAAAATTACACCAAGGAGCATTGTACCCATAGATGTCTTTTCGCTTTGCTGCAGTAGACATAGCATCAGATGACTGGTGGGAACTAACAGGCATATTAGGAATAATGCTAAGAGTATCTGACACTGGGATGCCCAGTATTTGCCAACCTATGTGGAAAAAAACAAGACAAAACTTTCTTATGAAGTCAGAATATAGTGAAGAAAAAGTGAGCACTAGAGAGTGTGTATACTACCATTAAAACTAAATAATTAAAAGTGATGGAACATAATAAGTCATCAAAGTTAATATCGACATGAGACCTGGGATTATTGCGTAACGGTCCAAGTAGCTGAGCACTGCACCGACATATCGAGCAAGAAGGCACCAAGATGAAAGGTAAACAAACAAGCAGTCAGTAGTGGTAGAAATCCATGAAAACAGAACAAGTAGCAATGGAACAATGGTGAATTTTGATGTGAATATTTGGACGAAGATAATGTGCAAATATATTTATCCCACGAACGGCAGTTTGGAGTCATGTCACGTAGAATATCCAACTACTGATTTCGGTTGTCATGTGGACTACAGCAAGAAGGTTCACATTCCTCTACACGACTCAGACCACAAACCAAACCACGTTTGGGGCGAGTACATTTTCGAAATGAAGTGTAAGTAAGGAAGCAGAAGGAATTCCATTTTTCGCTTTAAATATCTCAACTAGAAGAATATATATACAGATGAAGAATGGGATAGTAAAGAAAAGACAAAAAGTAGGGAAGATGGAAGTAGCCATTATTTTACTGGACGCCAGTAGAGAAATAATGCTTAAACATGTTCTTATTGTTGTGATGCCTGAGTTTCGTATTAAACAATGTTATTGTTCTGAACATTTTAACGTGTCATTCCCATATCGTTTGCTGTATGACTAATAGTCTATTTTCTGCCCCCATTGTAATGGTTGATTGGTTGATTGGTTAACTTTTACTCTTACTATGCGAATTTCTCAAATTGCGGACAAGGTCGGTTTTCATGTGTATACTTATTCACGTGTTTTGGATTGATTCATTGTTATTATATTATATTCGCGGAGTAACACACTCTCCCATCTGCCAGCTTCGGTCTTCTCTCTATTCGTCCCGGGGTTGCAGTCAGTGTCTCTTGCGTACCAAGTTAGCTGTCAGCTAAGCACACGTATTATATTCGTTTCGGAATATATACATATACCATTAGCGCCTCGAACCCATGACACTTATGAATGCCAAGTTCAGGTTCGATGAGTTCCATTGAAACAGCCTCAGGTATCCATAGCAAGCATGGACAAGCTACACGTTTTAAAGTTTTAATATATGATATTTACCACTAGCAATATTGAGTAAATCATAACCTACCCAGCACGCACTTAGAATGACACTCAAATTCAACTATTTCTGTTTACATCGAATTAGGATGCTCAAATACAATTCTTATGTAAAAGTGTGAGTCACCCGATTTCACACATTTAGAAGACAGCATTGTGAACAAAGATATGATTAACAAATTCTGTTCCTTCCCCATGTGTACGCTTATGTGTAGCACTAACCATCCATGGAGTTTGTGCTGGGATCTTAGGTATTAAATAATGGTCATTCAGCTTAATACTAATACTTCTGAAGACTGCAGGTACAGTTTTGAAAGGCCAGTCACTGTGAGTGCTGTTGCAAATACACATTCACTGCACTCATGCAAACATAGCGTAGTTATATTTGAATGTTGGCTGTTCGCACCTTCATTCTTACTAGCTGTTTAAAAATGATAATTTGAATTTGCCGTGATTTGTAGGAGGTATGAAACACATAAACGCAGAAGAGACTGAACCCGTTGAGCACTTTAGTCATTCCTGTTGTAAGAATTCTCAGGTAGACTTGTTTGCATTTCCACTTGTTATCCTCAGAAGGCAACCGTAATTTTGACACAAAAGTTTGAACTAGCAGAAATCATGGTTTTCAATTTCAATATCGCCTTCAGAAGAGAAATTTCCACATGCTGCTGGACGATTGTTATAAGGGATCACCGTCTGACGTTTATCGTTTGTCATACGGAAAACACTTTGAAAATCATTTATCCATCTAATATGTGTGGTGGAGGAAAAATCACATGGGATTGTTCGTTAATGAATAGAGCAGGTTAAATAACAGTGACAATTTGGTACGCAACGATGAAAGTATTGTGAAACTGTAATCATTTCTGAGTTATCTACTTCACTTCTGATATTCAAATCAGTGGCCAGACATTTCCACAAATTCAGATGCGATTGTCAAGCGACTGACTTCACACGTCAACTATGAATTATTTGTTGTAAGAAAATCTAGCCTCAGTACGAAGAAGTATATGAAAGACCCAGTCAATGCCTCTTGAGCAGAATGTGCCAAGTGGGACAGTAAGAGATAGCAAAACTGCAGGAAAGTTGGCACCTGAGAATAAATGAACAGAAACATGCCTCGAAATGAACTGTTGTGCAAAGAAACAGGTGGAAATGGATTAAGTCACCGGCATGCGAGTGAGGCGTTCCTAAAGGAAATTTCATCAACATTCGAAGAATGTTATACTTTCTCATCACTTTATGGCAACTGAGTCTGTCGAATTTCAATCAGACGAGAATTCAGTCAGAATATATGATGTGAATTAGTGGATAATCTGCATTTGTCAGAGATCTGCAGTTTGCATTAACTACCATCACAACCGTTACATGATAACTCACGCAATTTAAAATTCATCTTGGCGTACATCATGGTTTAAACCAGTAATATACCTTGTAGCTGATTGGCTGACAATAAATCAAAGTGATGTGGAAGCAAGGAATGTAATTTGTTGATGAATCAAGCCAATAAAAACTGGATGAACCGACTAGTAGATGGTACTTAAATGACAGCCGAAGAGTTGAATCACTGACAATAATTTTTGAAGTAAGTAAGACTTGTAATATACTATTTTCACGATTTTATGTACAGCTGTAACACGTTTCACTCTGCAAATTTTCTTCCATAACTTATGCATGACTGAGGAAACTTTTGAAATTGTTTCATGTTAATCTGTTGTTTGGGTATTTGGCACTGGATGTTTGAGTTCAGTTTACTGATCCCATTCATAGGGAAGAAATTTTAGGTAATAACAGACTGTATAAAGTGTGTTTTTACCTTTATAATCCTGGCCTAGTATCTTTACTATAAGTAGAACACAGGTATATGGAGGTGCCCTCACAGGATCCCATATGCCAATAGAGACAGATTAATTCGGTCTCATCAACGAGGTTATAATACAAGTAATAACACTAGTGTAGTGAATAACGCTCTGGTGTTTGAAGCGATCGCTCCTGAGTCCGAATCCCGGTGGGAACAACATCACTCACTGGGAGGCAGGTATATCCAGCTGACAAGTCCCAAATAGGACGAAATGCACATCCTGGATTCCACTACTATACACTATCCACATTTAAAATGACAAAATAAACAAATATTTTCTATTAATCGTCAACGTTACGATCTTGCTAGGAAGATCCTTTTCAAGAGTATGAATCTGACATTACGTTTTCAGAGCAAGATATGTAAGCGAACAATATTGTTTTCAATTAGATCCTATTTAGGCTTTACTCTAATATATTTATATTAGTCTGAATGATAACAGGATGGACTATGTAATATATAGAAAGGTTCATAGAATGTATATAACTGAAAAAGGAGCGCAAATCTGATGCAGATAGTATATCAATAAAGTATTATGTAATAGAAATAGACAAGTTGTTAAAATGCAACCAATATTCTTTGGACGTGATTAAGACGATTAGGAGAAATAACACCGAAAACTATTCAAACAAGTGTAAATTCGGAATAAATCATGTGGAAAGAAATTGTATTCTCTTGGTATATTGTTTACAACTGCCTATGCGAGTCATTAATGTTTGCCATATTAGTGGGGTGTCTTACTCATCTTTCTGTTGACCGAAGGAGGGTACGAACAGATGTGCAGATCTTCTGCAACGGTCCGCTCTTTGTGGGAAAGAAAACCCTTTTGCAGGACCTTTATCTTTCAGAATGATATTTGATGGCCTGAATATAAGGCATGAGCCGCTATGGCAGAGCTTCTGTACCAAAACTTGGATATTAGCCTGTCAGATTCATACTCTTGAAAAAGATCTTTCTCACAGGATCGAAACGCTGAGGAGTGATACAAAATATTCTTTTATTTTGTCACTTTTTCTAATATACTACGCCGGGATTACACAAGAAAAAAACACTATATGATGAGTCATACTAACTCGGTGTCCAAGTTTTTTCAAACCATTCAGTTCATTGTTGGTCGTGATACATTAAAAAATAATGGACTGTGTTGCAAACTGCCTTCAGTGGACAGCATATTTCCACTATGTGAAAAACCTAACTGCAAAATAAACATGGATGTATTCTCCACAACAATGAATCCAGCATTCTGATTTTGTCTTTAACCGGGTGTGCCAATTGGACTAAAACATTCTGCATGGATGATTAGAAGTGGGATTAGGGATACATGACAGGTAGAAAACTCCAACCAAACCCTATGGTCAGCTCAAGTGCATACAACCAGAGTTTCATTGTATGTTCCATCGTTGAAAGCAGTCATATTACCTCCATACTTGATCGGAGTGTGGAAACTGTCACAACCTTTCAAAGATATGTATTTGCAGCCTAAGGGAAACTAATATATTCACACAGGTGTGAATATACTTCAGTGTGTTTTGCAGTCACCAAAGCCTTCAGTGACATATCGGGGGTTTCAGCGATGCATTGTTAAAGGAACTCAAAAACTGATCGTTCACAGAAAAGTGTCTACAGTTATTTCCCTTAGTCTTACTTTCCATCAAATGATATCGATCACATATACAACGTAGTCGACAAATTATAGGACTATTAATCATAAAGCAACTAGACTGGTTAAACTGGTTGTCATCTATGAGTCAATTCATGTATATTTCTCTGCAAAACATGGAATGCTGTCCAAATCACTCACATTTCAATAGCGTCTGACTTATTGCGGTTATCACAACAAAGATGTCAACGAATGTCTGATCAATGAATACGTAAAAATCATGTTTAGTTTCTTCCACAAAATGTACGAAGTTGTTTGTATGTATTTAGATGATCGGCACTGTCAGTGTTTTGCTTACTGGTGGTGACGAGACTTATGGAAGAGCAAACAATGGATGACTGTGGGAACCATTCCACTCAGGCGAAAACAGATTGCAAAACCTATTATTTCCATTCACATATGAAGTTAGTTCAGGATGTAGATAGATAAATTTTCGAATCAGTCCAATAAACAACTTATCTCGTTAGTAGATACTGATAACCACACACAGGCGCTGGTCAACATATGTAGTTATAAAGATGTAATTTCATCACAACATTCATTCGCTACTGACATGGGAGTGATGCTTTGACTGACTGGTTTTCGAGATCTATGAATATGAGTAGTGTTTTCACAACAGTGATATATCTTAAATATACTCTGAGCATCAAACTTACGATGAATTTACTAGTGTTCGGAATACAGAATTTGTGGTATTTTTTTATTGCTGCATTTCAGAGTGTTTCCAGAAGCATATCTGAACCATAAGGACAGTGAATTGAAATGCAGGATTCTTTGAAACGTAAGATTGGAACTGCGTACCTTCGATTATCCTAGTGAAATATATAAAACAGGCTGACCCAGTGAAGACATTTACGAAACTAGAGCTTCGGGTAAGATAAATGTGAGTTTATTGAACATTCTAAAACAGGTTTTTGTGCTAGTGATTGCAGAAATCATCATTTCAGTGGCTATGAGCTTCGTCGTATATTATTTGTTCGCTTCTTTTTTATTTTTGTCACATAACTATTATTCATTGTTTTTATTTAGACATAGCAAAACCTTGATCGATAAATTTATTTGGAGTAAACTGATTCTGATGTAAGTTTGAAGGGGATTTTCTTCATTGTGAATTTGCTTTGAAATGTTTGAATAAATTTCAATAGACCATGTATTAATAAAAGGCCTAGAATGCTTAGTTCAAATACTCTCTTCCCACTGATGTAAAGTAACTAGAGAAGTAACGTTCATGTAGTATAGAGGACACAATAAATGGAAAACACTGGTAGGTGGATGGATGGATGTTATATTTTCACACGCTAATAGTTGTATATATTCCGAAACGAATATAATACGTGTGCTTAGCTGACAGCTAACTTGGTACGCAAGAGACACTGACTGCAACCCCGGGACGAATAGAGAGAAGACCGAAGCTGGCAGATGGGAGAGTGTGTTACTCCGAGAATATAATATAATAACAATGAATCAATCCAAAACACGTGAATAAGCACACACATGAAAACCGACCTTGTCCTCAATTTGAGGTATTTACATAGTGAGAGCAAAGATTAACCAATTAGCGATTTAACCTCGCCTGGTTAACTAGTTCACTAGTTACTCGCCGTCCTAAGCTCGGGTAAAGAAGGAAGGTTGGGCGTAGGGCTAGCAACCCTACCCCGGAAAACCAATCCAACCGCCAAGGAAACTTCAAAACACAAACGAAATATAAAGAATAAAAACAATATTATTCCTCTTTGGAATCGGAGAGGCGAAATGATGCCGGTTGATGAAAGCCTTCGGGAAGCCAACCGGCCAGTGTATCTTCTCTCGATGAAAGATATAGTAAGGATGGTAACATGGAATTTGCGCAGTGTGTTTGAACCTAGCAAGCCTGCCCAGATTGCAAACGAGATGAGAAGACATCGCATAGAAGTGTTAGGAATCTGAGAAAGCAGATGGAATGGGAGTGGACTCTGCAAACTGTCAACGGGAGAATCAATAATCTACTCCGATATTGTCACCCAAACGACAACCATGAGCACACTGAGTTTTCGAGTGGCTATCATGATGTCCACTTGAAGAGCATCGAAGGCTCTCACCCAGTGGGAACTAATCTTCTCCTGCAGGATCATGATAGCAAGGTTCAACTCAAAAGGAAGGAAAGTCACAATCATTCAATGCTACGCTATGCTCCCACAAATAATGCAGATGAAGAGAGGAAGGAGAAATTCTACAGACAACTGCAATCAGCACTAGACAAGACCTCAGTTGGCGACATCAAAATTCTAATGAGAGACATGAATGCCAAAGTGGGAGCAGACAACACAGGAAGAGAACTAACCATGGGTCGAGAAGCGCTCGGTGAGGTGATGAACGAGAATGGAGAATTGTCTGCGGAATTCTGTACATTCAACGATTTGGTGATTCGAGGTACTGTGTTCAAGCGCAAATGTATCCACGGAGCGAGGTGGATTCGATTTCTTCAGATGGACACACTACACTAAGAATCAGATCGACTTTATCTCAATCTCAAGAAAGTGGAGATGCATCAGCCTACTTGACACAAGGTCAAGAAGAAGAGCAGATGTAGGCTCAGACAACTATCTAGTGAAATGAACCTGCCTTCAAAATCAAGTCAAAAGCCTTCAAGGAATTTGTTGATAGAACACAGTTCAAGTACAACGCTCTGAAACGGAAGGACGAAACTACAAAGGAAATCTTCACGTCAGCCAGCCATCAAGACAAAATAGGAGATATCGAGGAACGTCGCTAAAGAAACCTGTATGGAAGAACACTGGAACTCTTTGAAAGCTATGTGGAAAGAAACCGTATTAGGAAGGAAGAAGATAAGGAATGGATCTCGATGGACACATGGAAGCTGATAGATGGGGCAGAGGAGGATGCTGAAACAGAAGATAAACCAGTGCAGTGCATGGATGAACAACGAGAAGAGGAACTGAGAACAATGTATAAAACACTACACTAGACAAAGAAGTGAAGAAGAGTGCGCGCAAAGACAGAAGACACTTCCACGACACACTGGCAAGTGAAGCAGAACAGGCTGCAGTCTGGTAGGAGAGACCTGACAACATTGTATCAAATAACCAACTTACTACCTTGGAAGAGATCAACGCAGATGAAACCAATAAGAGATGATGAAGGAAATATAATTACGAGAGAAGAGAAACAAAGGAAACAATAGGCTGACCACTTCAAAAAGCTCTCGAGTCGACCACCACCACCACCACCAACACCACCTGCACTTCGTCCAGAAACACCACCAGGAGCCCAGACACAGAACTACAAGTCAACACAAATCCTCCAACTAAAGTCGAAGTTCTGAACACCATGAAGCTACTGGAATGCAAGAAAGCATTAGGACCAGATGGAATCCCGCCACAAGCAATGAGAGCAGACGCAGAGACAACAACGGACAGGCTCACACCACATCACTATTGCAGAAGGTGTGGAAGGAAGGAAAATACCTGTCTGTTGATTGGAATAAGGGCTACCTAGTCAAGCCTCCAAAGAAAGGAGACCTAAGTGTCTGCAAGAACTGACACGGAATCACTCTCCTGTCCACCCCAAGCTAACAAAATATTAAGCCGCATCATCCTGGATGGAGAGACTAAGGGATGCACTCGATCCAAACTTACGACCGGAACAGGCTGTCTGGCTGGATTCAGGAAGTACAAATCATGTGTGGACCAAATTGCAACGCAACGCTTCGCATCATCATAGAACAGAGTATAGAATGGCAGTCAAACATCTACCTCAACTTCATCGACTTCGAAAAGGCCTTCGACAGCGTCCACCGACAAGTAATTTGACAGGCAGTTGCTTCAACATTATGGAATACCACACACAAACCTTTATCAGCCTCATTCAACAATTATATGAAGACGCCACATGCCGAGTGATTCACAATGGGAAGCTCTCTTATGCCACTGAAGTGAAGACAGGAAGGAGTGAAACAAGGTTGCCTACTATCTATCACCCATGATATTCTGGTTCGTGGTCGACTGGACTGGATCATGCAACAAACAGTGAGGAGTGAGAAGAGGGGATACTCTGGCTGGAACGAGGAGAATATCCTCGAAGATCTGGATTTCGCCAACGATGACTTGTGTCTGGTGTCACACAAACTTGTGGATCTACAGGTGAAAACTAACAAGTTGACAGAAGAGGAGAGGCGGCGAAGACGGAACTCCAGGTGTGCGTAGAGAAGACATAGGTGATGAAGATTCCCAACAAACACCACGACCACCACCAACAACTAGCTCGAATCACCATGAACGGAAGAGACCTTAAGGAAGTAGCCTCCTTCACCTATCTAGGTAGCACTGTTTCAACAACATGGTGGCACAGACGAAGATGACAAAGTCAGAATCGGAAAAGCGATACAAGCGTTCATTAGCCAGAAACCAGTGTGGAGATCTTCTGCACTCAGCGTGAAGTATGAACAAGATCCGGATTTTCAATACCGATCCAGTCAAGTCAGTGCTTCTATATGGCTCAGAGACTTGGGCGTTTCGAAAAGCATTTCGAACAAACTACAGACATTCATCATCAACTGTCTACTCTGGTTCGATACTGGAGATCAGATGGTCAGAATAGTCAGAATAAGCAACAAGGAACTCTGGCTGGCTGGTAACGAACCAACCGAGCAATAACCTATCGCTCAACAAATATGCAGAAGGAAGTGGAGATGGACTGGATTGTGCACACACTGAGAAGGCTGATTGGAGACATCACGCGAGAAGACCGGACCTCGAGTTTGGCCGAGATGGGAGGTGACGAGTTGGGCGTCCGAGTGGAAGGTGACATGGAGGAGATCGTTTGAGGAAGAAATGAGATGTCCTGGTCTGTCGTGTAGCCAGGTTGAAAAGATTTCAGAGAAGAGAGTGGACTGGAGACGTGCTAGTGAAGCCCTATGTTCCATTAGGAACCCAAGGGACTAATAATAATAATAATAATTAGCGTTTTACACTACAATGGGCGCAGATAGTAGACTACTTCTCATACCGTAAAAAATGAAGTGGGGATGACACGTTAAAAATGTACAGATCGCTAACAATGTTTTATTCATTAATAAGAACAAGGCATGTATCAGCGAAGAAATATTTCATTTCGACGACTTCATTATCAAGCTGTACAGTCGTATTTATACTCGGTAAAGAAATATTTCTTCGCTGATGCATGCCTTGTTCCTGTTAATGAATAAATGGGTATATTTCGTCAGTTGAATCAATGTTTTATACAAAAATGGGTCATCACAACAATGTCAAGAACTTGAAATTAACTCTTGTGTTGAAATGTCCAGTAGTGATTATCATGGTCACCTAAATGAGTCATCTCAGTTCTTGCCCACTTATTATTCTAAGGCGGATGATTGTTATTCTCACTAAAATTGCGAACTGCAGCCGATAATTGGTATGTGGGAATGTACAAATTGTTTCTGTCTTCTAATCATCCCATTTAAGCTCTATTTCTAAGTTGAAAACCAATTATGGAACATCCCAAAATAATGTTCCCTGTAATTTTAGATGCAGTGGTATTCATGCTGTCGTCGTTTTGCAGATGAAAAATGAAAAAATCGCACAGCACTACAGAAAATATCCCCCTAATTGAAATGTCTTAAACAGATTTATTTTATCAGACCAGAAATGTTGATTTCATTCGTCATCATAATTGTAGTCAGTCTCACAGTTCGATTTTTATCAGCATCATCTTTCTCTCTTCCTATCTAGATTATGTGGAATACTTCTTGGTCTGTTACTGGTAATGGTCAAGCCTTTCCAACAAAGGAAGCCACTCAATTTCTTCATGTTGTTCACAACTGTAAGCAATGAATGCACTGGTGTTACATACAGTCGTAAATAGCCTATCTTTTGTTCTTATTCACACTAGCATATATCACAATAATCTTTCCAAACTGATCAACGCTTTCCTAACTTCATTTTCAATCTAGGTGACAATATTATCTATGGGACAGGCATTACTTCTTATGGATACTACGTTAGTTGAGATGTCAGCCGCTTGGGTGATCACACTTGTCATTAGTGGAGTGTTCTTCGCCATCGGATTTTTCGGCAACTTTGATATCACACAATGGCTTGGAACGTACTTAATTTACGTCGCAGTCATGTATTCCGTCGCTACAATTGGAGCGATAACTCTATATGTTTTGCCGAAGAGATTTGTAAGCTTAACGCATCTTACAACACTTTCTGAGAAATAACACTGAAGTTTGTTGCAATCACTGATTATGCAATCAACGGGTATCAAAATGCTTCGTGCAAGATACCTTTGAGATGAATGGAGAATAGGGTTGTGAAGATGACTTCACAAATGAAATCCAGCTAGTCATTAGCTAAATAGGATCATATGTTTGAAAATTCTATTCAAAACCAGTGAATTTGGGTTGGTGTCTGCTGTGTTCTAGTCAGGCTAACATTCAATATATAAGTAAAAATCTCTCCTTGAATATAACACATTAACCTACAACTGATTAACGAAATCAACAATTGGAACAAAATATCACCTCAGATGTTTCTCGAAAATGACGTAATTTGGTGTGTACACCAAACAAAATATCAGTTTGGTACTGAAAAGATGGAGTACGTGATTATGTAGTGTTTTGCGGATAATCTTCTCTCATTTTCATTTGTTAATTTGATTTTAGGAAGCGTTTCTGTTGCAGGCTGTGTCAATCGTTTTAGGATTCGTCCCAGTAAGTATAACCATTACATTTTAAAGTTATTCTCTCGAAAATTTCTAATCTTTACAGCGTCAAATACCGATACACAGAGATGCATTGCATTCTTACCGTATATAAGTAGTGCATCCCTGTTTATGCATACACGAGTGGTGTTGTGTTGTGTGAAAGAAATGTGTAATGTGTGATAATTAAACATGCTGACCAGCAGTTAAGCTTTTTGAAACATCGATCTTCGTGATCATGACGGATATCTGTACCTGGATGACAACATGATATTCAAGTGTTGAATTATTTCACTTCAAATCAAAGTTCAATATCAAGTGATTTCTATCGTTTGTTTGAGTCGATTCAACTAATTGGTATGATCAGCCTGAAGTTTATTCAGAAGAAGTGAAGAGAATGATAGGAATTCAAGCAATTTTGTCATTCAGGTCACTGCTGAGAAGAACCAATGTAATCACTGAGAATGTGTTGAAGAATGTTCACTACTGAAATATTGCGTTTGATTTGTAGCTCTATCTATCTTTGTCTTAAAAATGAATGAATTCCGTTGTTCAGCGTCTGATGTGATCCATTCATTGGAAGTATCCACAGTCTCAATTCGACACACTATATTCTCATTTTCGTTGTAGGCATCATGACTAGCCTATGACTGATGAGTGTTCGCCTCTGCTTTATCCATGCTGGTTGGCCTATACAGCATGCTGTAAAATGATGGTATAGAGTGTTCCACTTGATTAATGACAATGTCATGTATTTACATACACTTTCTGACTAACCTCCTGATTATCTGACTGACTGACTGATTGATATCGTCAACTTGTTTGAGCTACGTCGGTGAGTGCTGAGACTATGGTGAGTACCAGCATGGCTTATTATTCGACAGTCGATTATCGTGCATGGTTCATTTCTAAAGTGAGATTCAACTACAGCTTGTTCGTTCGAAGCTGAATCAGGTTGGAATGTCTTCCACGAGATTCTTCAACAATTAACGAGAAAATATTGATCATTTTGAAGGCTCATCCAATGCTGTGTAATACGGCATGGGCTGCTGGAATTATGCGGGGAATCCAATGCCTTTCAGTGAAGTGACCTTAGTACAAACAAAGATCCTTATGAGCGACTCCATTCATAACTGTTGAAATATACCTTACTCGATAGAGTCATCCAGACGAAAGTAGGAAGCTCTACCATTACTCAGTATTCTCTTGTGTGTCCAAGAAGTGCAGTTGGACGAAACGAGAATTCGTGGTCACTGTCAAATTGTGTTTTAAAATGTTTCATCCAATGATGTGTAATGGATGTTCACAGACTTTCTACTTGCTCCAACAGTACTGCATGTGGTTTGAAGTTTTTCTACAAAACATGTTGAAAACTCGATCGGACATATGAAATATGCACAATTGTCCATCAGTGATTCTACTCAAATTCTTATGAGTGATGACTCTCTTCTCCACAAATTCATTATAATGCTGTACAGTTGGGTTGATGATTTTTGAAATGTCATATATATTCGCAGTGAAAAATTGTTGAATATATTGCGCATAATACGATTGGTAGTGAAGTAGTTTGCTGAGGTGGACGAAGTAGAACGAGAGACATTTCCTTGTGACATCTTATTGCATATATCTATCCATACACATGTACTGAAGCAGGTATATTGGAGGTTAAGAAAGGAGGATTTTGACCACATTTCTGAGCATGTTCGAAGAAGAAGTTAACAGCTGGATTGAATAAGTCTTCAATATCTCTGTTGCTCTTCACTTTATTCATGTTCAACATGAAATTGATATCCGGACATCGTGTATAGTAATTAGAAACAGGGGAATCCAAAGTGATACCTAATGATGTTTCACGACAGGATTCCAACTGTTTTCCTTAACTTGTTTGCATACCACTGGAGTGGTAGTTAGTAAGCGATTGTCACCGAAATTATGAATTTCTAACTACACCATCGTCAATTTTCGTCCACCCTAATGAATTCATTTGTATTGATGGTATTCATTATGTTTTTATGCATTGGTAGATTATTATCTATTGATGTGTTAATGAGTTTTGATTGTTATTCGATTTCACTCCCTTCACCTTATCGTCTGAAATCTACTCATCCTATCTTCCTAGCTAATGTAAATCGTTTGACATTTTGAACATGCATGCTCCATGCATTTTGATGACGGAAAACGTGGTGAATTTCAGATTCCCACAATTTAAATCAAGTGCACATATTTTTAATTGAGGACTGCTGAGTGGTATGATTTTAGTAAAACCAACAACGTGAGCGAAGTAATATTACTTTTCAATTAGTTCCTCATCATTGGCTCAACACTAATATATAGCATTTTCAAAACGTAATATTACATATTAATCTAATGGTTAGAGATGTTTAATGAAAGGTTATCAATCTCAAATTATTAGGAAGGTGATAATTGATCAGGTAATCACGCCACTTAACTAAAGCATTGATTAATTATAGTAGAAAGATATTATTAACTTTTAAACAGCTTCTTACATCACTGATATTTTGTATAATTGTTGCGTAAATTGGTGTATTATTGACGGTAATTAGAGACAGCAGGGGGAGAGCAGGATGGCTAGAACTGTAATAATAATAATAATAATAATAATAATAATAATAATAATAATAGGATGGTAACATTTTAGTTATAATCAATTGTGGGGTGAGTGAAATGAAGGGTATTGTTGTAATAACTAAGCTGTACGGATGGCCAAGGGAAAGAGAGTGGTTGGACGAATTTTTCTGAGCACACAGAATTGGCTTGTTTAGGTGGATGCCTATGGCTTCTGCTGTATGTAGAAGACGAACTCGTAGAACAAAGGTGAGGTTAGAAGGAATGTGGTAAATGACTTTGAAGGTATTATGACTGCTAACTAGGCGGCCAGTGTCAATCAGATGCGAGAGTATTGAGCCTCATATCGCTCTGGTTTGCCCCTAACTTAGCCATGAAGGATGATGATCGGCGATTCGGCGACGGACTTGCCTAACTGTACGTCCAGTGTAGCTAGCTCCACAGAAGCAGTTGAACTGGCACATGCATACAGAAGAGGAGAAGTCAGGCAATCTGTCCATAGTTCGCGTGGTCATCATCGACCAGCCGTAGAATATACTGCATAGCTTTGCGGCATCAAATGATATTCTTATGGCATTTCTTAGGCGGTGTGTCACAATTTCGCTGATGATGTCACCTCGAAATTGTAGTCTTAGGAACAACGGTGTCCTGTGGACTGCAGGTATTCTGGCTTTCATATTGAACGTGTCCGTATTTTTAGCCAGAAACATCTCTGGATATCCATTACTACTGAGTAGGTCATGGACAGTTTGAAGCTCTTCATGAAAAGTATCATCTGAACAGGTGAGTCTAGCCCGATGGACCAAACATTTGACTAGATTATGCTTGTAGTGCAAGGTGACGGAACTCAAGAAGTGTGTGTATTGACCTGTTGACGCTGGTCTCCGATATGCACCTTTTTTACAGTTCCACCCATCTTCCTTGTCAGTCGGACATCTAAGAAGGTGATGTTGTCATCACTGTCTCAGTGGTGAAGGCTATCACTGGATGGACGCTATTAAATTCATCCAGTATAGTCCTTTTATTGTTCTCGTTATTCACAATCAAGAATGTATCATCTAAATAACGCCAGTAAAATTCTAACCCGCTTATGATACTTCCCAAAGGGCCATTTTCTAATTTTGCTAAGAAAAAATCCGCTTACATTGCGGTTAGTAGTGACTCCATACCGACGCCATCTGAGTGTCTAAAGATATCTTTGTTGAATAGAAAGTGTACATTCACTGTTCATCGTAAAGGAAGCTCTTTCAAGGTGGATTCCGTAATTCCAATTTCTACATTTTTTTTCTCCACTCCGTTGCAAATGAAGTCAACTATTTACATCAGACGGACGTCTGTCAATAGACACGATACGTCTAAGGATATAATAGGTTTATTATTCACATTCACATCCCTTATCCAAAGAGTGAAAAGTATCTTCGACGCTGCTCTTTAAAACCTCTTTATGCAATGGTTGCAAGAGTTGTACTAGTCATTTGGCTGTAACGTGATATGAAGAGTTATTTCTGTGTTTAGTTTAATTACTTCATTGTTAATTGTAATGATATACCTTATTCAAACTGTTGAATAGTTGAGATTTCGATTTGTCCTTGTGATGAAACAAAATGAAGTGGGCAGTAGGTGTCGAGCTAAATCTACCTGCCTGGTTCATCAGATTATTTGCCAAGGCTAAGAAATTCTGATTCCACAACAGGTCTCTCCTCGAAAACAGGAGAGGCACATCCACAATGGTTTCGTACAACTTGCATTCGAGCATTTAGATGAGCGGTTTACGTAAGCTATCAATTTCAACGTACAATAGTAGACAGTGTCAAGACGGGAGATGTTTCGGATGAGGATTGAAAGTGGTAGGTGTCTGTACCACATACGATCTGAACTACTTGAGGATGCCTAAAGATATGAGTAGATGTTACTTGAATACAACGTTATCACCAACAATTATAACCGACTTTCTGCATAAGTACTAATTCAAATCACACTATTACGAATTAAAGAGCGAAAGTGCACCTGTCGGCAAGTAATAAGTTCCCCTTCTTCTATTCGAACCATGGATTGCATGCTGGTCATCAGTGTGAAACGGCTGTATCATTTAATCACGAATACTACGACTCTAATTCTGACTCCGATTCACAGACGTCACTTTCATGAAGTCACCTTACCCGACTGACATATTACAGAATCCTGCGTGATTCTTAGCCTCCAAATTCCACTCCTTCACCCACTAGATTACACATATAAACAATGCATATAATTTCGGTTGTCACGAATCGCAGATGATGTACTCCATTGTATCTCCGGTTCGATCTTCATAGCTTCTACAATATGACTTGACTAAATATCTGTGAACAGAAGTAATCACACAACCAAAACAATAGAAGAGTGGAGGAGACAAGATTGCAGATAATCACTCTTCTACAAACAGCA